AAAAAAAAAAAAAAAAAAAAAAAAAGAACTGTAATATATGCTTTTGTCCACTAGATGTCCTCAGTTAAGTTTAAGTTATTAGAATTTAACTTTTCATGAAAATTTGTTTCAGTCTCTGTATTTTTAAAAACTTAATGAAATGAATTCCTTAAATATAGTTTACGATAATACTCCAGGTAAAAATTTTTGCATGGAGCATTATCCATGCAAAAGTAATATTTTTTATTATTGCTATTAAAAATTTATGCAAGGTCTTTAAAAGTCTATAAATAACTTTTGTGTTGCTAAAAGATTTAAGCATTATTTGTGATTTCTGCACTATATATATTCTTCATGAACTAGGAGCTTTTTTATGTTAAATTACTTTCATGTGAATTTTTTTTATTCCCCTTGTAATTTTTATATTTTTCTTAAAGAGTTTTGGGACTGGAGTTAAACAAAGACAGAGATGTTGAAAGGATCCATGGCAGTGGAGTTAACACCCTTGACATTGAACCTGTTGAAGGAAGATAGTAAGTTTATTATACTTATATAATCATTTTTCTTTTTATGTGAGATGCAGTAAATCCTTCTTTTTCAGGTTAATTATGTAGAAGATTCATTAAAATTACTAAAAAATCCTAATTATGGCATTTTCAATCTGTCATTATTATAAATAAATACAAAACATCAGACCTACAAAATGTTGCCAAAGTATTTCCAAACTACTTTAATATCAGTATATTCATTGTTAAATGAACAAATACTGAACTTCTTTTGAATGCAGAGGACTTTTGAGTTCTAAAGTATATAGAGTTGTTATTTTAAAACATGGGTACTGCTCTCAAGGAGTCTAATGGGAAAACAGATATAAAAAACAAAAGAACATTTTGGAGAATTAAGTTTGAAGCAAACCAGAATTGTGTTTGAGTTCTTCTTGGCTTTCTTTGCTTTCTTCTTAGCAGTTTACCTAACCTTACTAATTCTCAGGTGCCTTAACTATGCTGTGAAAATAGTAATACCCATTGTTGTAAGGATTAGTTGAGATAATATGTGTAACATGATTGGCATATAGGAAGTAGGTGCCACCACTGTTGCTGCTCTTAATCAAAAGCAATACCACTTATTCTTTTGCTCCTTTCAATCCTTTGTCCACAAAAGTGCTTTGAAAATGCAAACCTGAATATTTCATTCCCCTCCTTATGCCACCACATTACTCTTATAAGAAAATGCAAAACCTTCATTGGATCTGTGATTAGACCATGTGTAAAATTAAAATTTGTCATGGTATGTTAAGCATTTGCCCCAGAATTTTTATTTCCTATTGAAATACTATTATTTCTTAAATAAAGCCAGGATTTGATAGCTTCCACTTTTTTTTTTTTTTTAATATAGACAGTCTTTTTTTATCGCTCGGTAGAGTGCCGTGGCATCACACAGCTCACAGCAACCTCCAACTCCTCAGCTTACGCGATTCTCTTGCCTCAGCCTCTTGAGTAGCTGGGACCACAGGCACCTGCCACAGCACCCGGCTATTTTTTTTTTGTTGTTGTTGCAGATTGGCCGGGGCCGGCCTGAACCCGCCAACCTCAGTATACGGGGCTGGTGCCCTACCCACGGAGCCACAGGCGCCACCCGATAGCGTCCACTTTTTACTTCCAGTTTCTAGCATAGTCTCACCTTAGTAGTATCTGAGAAACATGTATAATGGACAGAATTCTCACTTTAGCACATTTTTAAATCTAAAAGTAACACCTCTTATTCAAGGACAGCTGTGTGACACTTATAAAATATTTGCAGATATGAGCAAGGGATAGCTAGCTGATGGCTTCTTTTGGTCTTGGGCGGTGGTGGGAAAAGTATTTAATACTGCTACCCCAGCCAGCCATTTGGGGAAGTGATCTGTTGTGTGACCTGTATATGAAGCCAGTAGCCTACCACTTGGCAGAGTGAGTGGGAAATGCTAGATTGTGTAGATTACGTTTGTATGAAATGTGTTCGAGTCACAGGCTGAAGAGTCTTTTCTTAGGACATAAAGAGAAAAGTCTGAAGACTCTTGCTACAAGGGTTTTCCCCTTTGTTACATGGGAAAAATCTACAACTATTTATTTTGTTGTTTGCTAAGATTTGTATTTTGCATTAAACCCTGTTAATAACAAAGTGAGCAATAAGTAAATGTATACTTAAAAAAAAGTATCTATATGTAATTTGTTCAAAATACCTGTTTTTGAAGTATAATTTACCATCCACCATGAGAGCTATCATGATATCACTGAAACCCAGAGGAGGAACCAGAATATACAAATCTAATAAAGAAGCATTTCTAAAGTCTTTATTTCCAAAAGAGTATCTGAAAATTACGTTTTAACAGGTGCAACTGCATAAAGTACATTTGCATATCACTCTCTGAAGCTTGAATTTTCTTTTATATCTTCTAAATTTCTTCTAAATTAATTTTATCCATCTCTTATACCAAGTTTTCTTGGCTATATATCTCTTAATATGTTTGCTGTAAATAGGGAGTGGTAACCTCACAGTTAAATAATGTTAGTGTCATCAGATACTTCAAATGGAGAGTCACTCAACTGATCAGATCAAAAGGAAAGGTTTTGGAAGCCTTTCTAACAAAGTCAAAGCATCTGACATTATTGTAAATACCATTTAAATTCAGTTACAATTTCAACTTTAGAAATAATTGTTTCTTTTCTATTGATGATACATACATCTTCATGGTAAGAAAAACAGTATTTTACCAAGTTAAAGTATGAAGAAGAAAGGTTTTTGAAATTAGTGGTAATACACACATAACTCACTATGGTGCCCAAATATTTGATCAATCAAAATTTGTAGCAGTGAAAATTTTATAGGTATTTCTACATACAATTATAAAGCTAACATTAAGTATTATGAAAGTAAAACTAAGCATGGCATTATTTGCAGTCTTTGCTTCCCATCACCAGTTGGATTTTAGAACTATTTGAGCCTTTGAAGAACTACTTTTAAGTTAACCTAATTGCTCTATAAATTGGTATTGAATTTATTTTAAAACAAGTCTGTAAAACAGTACATGATGCCAGTTCATGAACTGTTTGTAACTAATTCACAAGATAAGGAGCTTGTGACCAGAATGTAAATCTACTGTATCACTAACTATGTAAGTTAAAGGAGCTAAGATTTGTTTGTAGCAAGACTTTCTCAATGAAGAAAGATATGGGAGGTGGGGGTTGTTATAAGTTTTTATCTTGTCATGGAGAGAGGCAGATTAAATAGCATTGTTCTACATTTATTTTGTTCAAAATTGGATGAAAATCTTTACTCAAACTATTCATGGAATGCTGTGCTGAAAACTGGTTTGGTGGCCATTCTGGGAAGATAGCCATGTCAGAGTAGTTTTTTTTTTTTTTTTTTTTTTTTTTTGCAGTTTTTGGCAGGGGCTAGGCTTGAATCCACCACCTCCAGCACCCTACTCCTTTGAGCCACAGGTGCTACCCATGTCAGTATAGTTTTTAAAGTCTCTCAAATCTCCCATTAAAACACATAAAGAAGCTGAAGATGGTTAAATCAAAAACCAACCTATAACACTTAAAACAAAGTCGGTCATGAAATACCCCCACAACCTCACAATATGAAAGTGTTTCTCACCAGTGGAACAAACCACTGGTAACTACAAGATCTATGTGGTATTAGCATTTATGCCAGGGGAAGCAATAAAAAGTAATGGGGCATCTAAATACCTGGCAAGTCCAAAATAACTAACAGCTTGCTTGAATCTTAGCTAGCCAATTAGACTTCTGAAGCTGAAACTAGCCAAGTACAGTAGTGCACACCTATATTCCCAGCTACTTGGGTGGCTGTGGCTAGAGGATCCTTGAGCCCAGGACTTCTAGACCAGCCTGGGCAACATAGCCACACCCCCATCTCTAAAAAAAGGAAAAAAAGAAAGAGAGAAAAAGAAGCTGAAACTGGCTCGATGCCTGTGGCTCATGTGGCTAAGGTGCCAACCACGTACACCTAAGGTGGCAGGTTCGAATCCAGCCCCGGCCTGCCACACAACAATGATGGCTGCAACCCAAAAATAGCCAGG